GGGGGGGCTGTGGGCGGAGGGGGCAGGAGAGCCCCAGGCTGTGCCTGTCCCAGCCTGGCCATAGGGGCTGCACTCGGAGCTGGGCCAGGCCCCTACAGCAGCCCCCCCCCGGGACTGAGCCCTGTGCCCTCCCCCCACAGCTAGCCCCTTGGTCTGCGCCCGCCAGCCCAGGGAAGGGATGGGGGTTGGGATCAGAGCTGGGGCAGGAGAAGGCCAGAGCAGGGGGGCGGGGCAGAGGGACCCTGGACAAGAGGGGAGCACAGGTGAGAATGGGGGAGTTGGGAGAAGCTGTGCCCATGGCTGAGCCTGGCTCACGCAGCCTGGCAGGGGCAGCTGGAGTCACTCCCGGAGGAGGGGACGTGGGGGGGGGGAGGAAGCTGCTTTTCAGAAACAGAGCTGGGGACCTATAAATATTTCACTGCAGCTTCTGCCTTTGTTCTGGGGACGCAGCGGGAGCTGCTCATTTAACCAGGCGGCTCCCGCGGGAGGGGGCACAGAACCCCCCCCAGCTGCCCCCAGCAGCCACTGCATGGTGCCCTGCCTCGTGCCATCACACCCCAAGGGTCAGCTGGGAATTGTGGGGCTCATGGGGGGAGCTCAGCCTTGGGGTAAAACAGGGCTGGAGGTTCGCAATGAGTAGAGTGGGGGATTTGGGGGGGCAGGTGGTGATGGGAGGGCTGGGGAGCCAGGGGAGCTGAGGGGGCATCGGGGAGGAAAGTGCTGGGCAAAGTGGGGCAGGCGTCCCACCCTCCCTGGTCCTGCTCAGCCTGGGGCCAGACTTGGCATTTGTGGGCTGGGCGCTGCCCCGTGGGGCCGGGCACCCGTGGCGGGCACATCTGCTTAGCTCTGAGGTGTGTGGGCTGGCGCCAGGGGGGCCGGATAATCAGATGAAACAACAAAACGGCTCCCACTGAGCCAGCTGGGGCCTGGCATTTCCCAGGGCTGGCGGGAGCGTAGGTCACAGGGGGTCTGTGGTCTCAGCCTGCAAAGGGTTAAAGGTTCCTGCCGGGTCGGCATTTCCTGGTGGCGGGCACATCTGCTTAGCTCTGAGGTGTGTGGGCTGGCGCCAGGGGGGCCGGATAATCAGATGAAACAACAAAACGGCTCCCACTGAGCCAGCTGGGGCCTGGCATTTCCCAGGGCTGGCGGGAGCGTAGGTCACAGGGGGTCTGTGGTCTCAGCCTGCAAAGGGTTAAAGGTTCCTGCCGGGTCGGCATTTCCTGGGGCCCTCGGCTTATGGAGGGAAGTCACAGCTGTCCAGATGCCAGACCCCTTGGAGGGAGCCGACCAGCACGTGGCCGAGGCGACCAGCCGGCCAGTGGTCCTAGATTTCCAGAACGCCGCTGCCAAGGTCCCTCATCCGAAGGCCTGGATGGAAACCAAGATGCCCTGGATGCCAGGGAAAGTCCTCTCCTGGGTCAGGAAGTGGCTGAACTTAGGAAAGCCGGGGGAGGAGCTGACCAGCCTGGCGGGGATCTGTGCTGAGCCCCGGCTGCTCACGGCCACTGCTGATCCAGGGGGAGGGCTGCCCGAGAAGAGGCACCGTGTGCAGAGGATACAAACCGACGCCAGGGGGTTCAGCCCCGAGCAGGCTGCGAAGAGCCACAACGGGGCCTCCCCAAACTGGCTGCCAAGGCGAGAAAATTGCAGATGAAATCCGATGCTGAGAAGTGCAGAGAAATGATCCCAACGGGGGGGCAGTGGAGCTGGGACCAGCCGGCTCCGCAGAGCCTGGAGACCCCACGGAGCATGCTCGCTACATTTCGCCGCTGTCCCCCCTCCCTCCCTGGCCGCTCCCTGGGATGTGCAGGCCTGTTTGTGCAGTCCCCTCCCCGGAGGCCTGGCAGGCGTGTGAGCGGAGCTGGCACAAGCGGGCGCTGGCATGGCCGTGCCGCTGACTTCACCCTCCCAGGAGGCGGATTTACTCCCTCTGCCATCTGGGGATGGAACCCGGGCCAGGCACGGAGCAGATGCCCAGCAGGGAAGGGGGATAAGGGACCAACCCCCTGCCCCTGGACCAGGCTGCTCTCTGCGGGGAGGGCAGGAGGCCGAGCTCTCTGTGATGCAGACCCTCTGGCGGCTCCCTGCCTGCTGCCAGCAAATCCCTCAGGAGCCCTGCAAGCAACGTGCCGGCCTTGGGCTCCCCCACGCCACGGTCCCCAGCCCCCAGTGTTGATGTGCTGGCCCCAGGTGATCCCCACGTGCAGACGTGTCATGAAATGTGGCCTTCCCGTAGCCTCAGGGTTTGCACGGGGGGTGCACGAGGGGTGCACGAGGGCAGCTGCAAGGTGCTATTTGTAATCACCTCGGGGCTGGCAGCTGCACCCACCCCCTGCCAAGTCCCGGGGGGGGCCCGTGGGAGCCAGTGCTGGCCATGGGAGCACAGCGCTGGGTGCACTGCGGGAGGGGGTCGGGTGTCTGGGCTCCAGCAGCGCAGCGTCCTGCGGCAATGGACAGGGCTCAGCAGATTCCCACACCAGCCGGCCGTCCCTGGACTCAGACGTGTCCCTGGAGGAGGAGCGTGAGACCGCCCAGCGCGAGGTGGAGAACCAGGCCCAGCAGCAGTTGGAGAGGGCCAAGGTAGCCAGGCGGGGCCAAGACGCGGGCTCTGCACGGGAAGGGCACTGTGGATTGTAGTGGATCACAAACCTAGGGCCCCTCCCCATAACCTGCTCCAGTAGCAGTATAGGGGCTTGGACACACACCGCTGGGCAGTGATGAACATGCACCTGCTTAACCAGATCATACTGGGGAAGGTCCCAGGCCCTTCTCCCTTTGGCCGGTCCAGCAGGGCATCCCCTCTTTCCACTGCCTGACATCAGGCTGGGGGCCCATCTAGCCTGGCCTCCTACCTCCTGCAGCTGCCAATGCCTGTGGGTCAGAGGGGAGTGGGATCCCTTCTATCACTGGGGCCATAGGCCCATGGGGGCACCCGGCTGCCCAGCACTGACCCCCGCCCCATGTCCCTGCTCTCCCCAGCACAAGCCGGTAGCATTTGCTGTGCGCACCAATGTCAGCTACTGCGGAGCCCTGGATGAGGAGTGTCCCGTGCAGGGATCCGCCATCAACTTCGAAGCCAAAGACTTCCTGCACATCAAGGAGGTGAGCCTGGCGTCGGGCTAGTGGGGGAGCGACTGGGAGCCCGGGGTCTGATGCTGGCCCTGCCACCAGCTCCCTCTGGGCCAGGCTGCCCTGAATCCCGTCCTTCCAGGCCAGCCGGCTGCCGTCTCAGGGCAGGGCTTGGTCTCGCCCCCTCAACAGTCCCTGTCGGTGTCTCCCCAGAAATACAGCAATGACTGGTGGATCGGGCGGCTAGTGAAGGAGGGGGGGGACGTCGCTTTCATCCCCAGCCCCCAGCGGCTGGAGGCCATACGGCTGAAGCAGGAGCAGAAAGCCAGGTGCAGGGGCCGCCGGGGGGGAATCTCTGGGCCCGTCCCCTGCAGCCTGGTCCCATGGGGTCAGCGTAGTCACGCCCATCCTTGCGGGGAGCCAGCGGCAGCACGCCCATCCTGCACCTCAGCAGCGCAGCCCGGAGCTTCCGACAGGCTCCAAGGCAGCTCCGTTACTGGCAGCAGTAGCAGGCTGTTAACCTGTGCGGGGCCCAGCCACGGGAGCAGGCGTGGTGCACGGTGTGTAGGCATGTCACACAGCGAGCCGCCTGGGAATACTACTCGCCCCTCGGCGC